GATACTTCCTTCTTCACAAATACCTCCCTAGAGAGCCAGCTGACGTCACCGTGGTCACTTCCGGGCGTCTTGAGCACCCCATTGAGACTCCTTCCCACTCATATAAAAGATAACATACTCCTCAGAGACACCATCTTAGCTTGGAGAGAAGTCAGAAAGCTCCTACGTCTCCCCACGGTTCTCTCTCCTTGTATGCCCCTCACCTCCTCCCCGATTTTCTCAGCGGGTAGGGAGTCCTATGCTTTTCGAACATGGTCTGCTAAGGGTATATCTACCCTCGGGGATCTGTTTGACCCTGGGGGATACTTCAAGACATTCCGTGCCCTTCAACTTCAATTTAATCTCCCCGCTACCCACATTTTCCCATATTTACAGTTACGCCACTTTGTCTCCCATCACCTTAACTCCCCGTGGCGAGAATTAATCTATTCACCTATTGCGCATCTACTCTCGTCTCCCCGGGTCAAAATCCCCCTATCTCATCTGGCCAAATGTATCGCTACCTCGGTTCTTGATTTCTCCATCTGTACGCCATCCCACATTCAACGTTGGGCTGACTTCCTGCACATGACTGAGGAAGAAACGTCCCAGTTAGTAGAACAAGGATGGGGTCAAGTTCGGAAAGCTATTATAAATGAATCCTGGAGGGAAATTTACTTTAAAATTGTACACAGAGCCTACCACGCATTTAATGTACCCCCCAAAATTAATAATGCCTCTACCACCTAGCTGACGGCCTGTCCGAAATGCCATCACCCCCTGCCTGAACTGACACACTTATTTTGGTCATGCCCCCATGTACAGACTTTCTGGTCTGCCACAATTTCCTTTATGAATGTCCATTCAGGTAAAGAGAGATTGCCTTCCATCAGATGCCACCGGCAAACCCTCTTATCCAACGCGTCCATTCAGGTAAAGCGAGATTGCCTTCCATCAGATGCCACCGGCAAACCCTCTTATCCTTCTCGCAGCTAAAAAGTCCATCTTATGCAACTGGATAATATCAGACCCCCCATCCATAGAGAATTTCCGCTCCCTATTATATCGCCTCATGTTGTTAGACAAATTAGACACTGTCAGTCACGAAGGGGTTAATCAAATGCGTACCAACAGATTTTTTGCCACCTGGACATCCTTTGTTGCGGCTGAATTATCCTTAGAGCAACTACAGGACCTGATGTCCATTTTCAGATTATCTAAATGGTATCTTGAGGCGAAACTAACGAACTCCCTGGGCCCTTTAGATGTCCTATAGTACACGGTTCCCCCTGATTGTTTGACTTGATCTGTTCATCCACACAACCCCCCTTTATCTCCCAGCAGATATTGAACATGTTAAGCCCGATCTTTCCCACGAATACCTATATTGTGTTGAGGTTGTTCACCACCTAGATTTTGATTCCCCTGGCTAACTTATTAGGGAAGTAATATGGCTATGGTACGTTTTCAAGGCTATGTTGTTATGATTTATCCTGTATTCCAGTTAAAGTGCTCTGAACTGTTATTGCTACAGGTGCAGTCTGCGCACTGGTGCCTGATTCATGTTATCTGCCGATGATTGCACTTATTTGTGTTGTATTATTTGATACTTAATAAAAATTGACATGCTGAAAAAAAAACCCCCAGCAATAGTACATTATACAGCACAATGCAGAATACCACCAGCTATAGAGGAATACAACAAATCCCAGCAATAGTACATTATAGCTGGCGGTATTCTGCATTGCGCTGTATAATGTACTACTGCAGGGTTTTGTAGTCCTCTATAGCTAGTGGTATTGGGCATTGCACCACTGTATAATGTATTATTGCTGGGATTTGTTGTACTCCTCTATAGCTGGTGGTATTCCGCATTGCGCTGTATAATGTATTATTCCTTGATTTGTAGTCCTCTATACACCCCAATGCAGAATACCACAAGCTATATAGAAATACAACAAATCCCAGCAATACATTATACATACAATATATAATGTATTGCTGGGATTTGCATTCCTCTATAGCTGATGGTACATTGCTCTGTATAATATACAGTACAGCGCAATGTACTACTAATGGACTACAAATCCCAGCAATACATTATAGAGCACCATGTGTGGGAAAGTGTAGGCTTACCTCAGCAGTCTCCCAGCAACTTGTTTCTGAGATCGGGCCTGTCTATCGGTGACGGTCATCCACCCTCCCACACCTGTTCCTCCTTACTTCTTCTCCCCGCGTCCGTGTGCCGATCGTGGATGTGGGCGGGCGAGGCGGGGAGGAGGTGCGTCGTGTGGAGCGTGGATGCGGCCGGGCGGCTCTGGCAGCGGCGAGCACGAGGTGGGGAGGGGAGGAGGTGTGGCGTGCAGCGTATGTGGAGCTGTGAACAGGGCCAACCAATCAAAAGCCGATTAATCGATGATTGAAAAAGTTGACAACTTTTTCAATCATCGATTATGTCGATTAGTTGTTGCAGCCCTAAATATTTGCACTGCAACCAATCAGCTTCTAGCTCTCATTTTCAAATCTTACCTGAGCAAACTGAAGATAGATGCTGATTGGTTGCCATGGGCAACTGCTCCATATTCTCTCCGCTCCAGGTTTTGATAAATCCCCCCCATTAGGTTTCTGAAAAGATGGCTAAAACTCTCTGTTCCCTATTCCTGATCTTTATGTCCAGTACAGATCACAAGGGATAGAGGAGTCTCCAGCAGCTGTCCATCTACCAGCTTGTAGAAGGGAGAAAGAATAAAGGGAGGAGTAGGGGGCAGAGTAGTGCCTTGCCATGCCTGTGTGTGTTTGTGGAGACACACACAGCTTAACAGCACACACATGGTGGCTCCATAGTACCCTGCAAGGTAAAGGAGCCACCCTAAAACATAATATCTGTACAGAGCTCAAGGGACCAACTTATTCTGCAGAATCCATTGTAAGTGATTTATTCAGCATTTGTTATAGCTTAAACATTATGACTTTAATATAACTTTAAGCTCACCTGGCAATATATTGCAAATTACTGGGAGGTACTGTATATACTGTAGATTTCTTTTTGAGAACATGTCCCCAAAGCAGACATAGCAATTAAAGCTGTAAAATGAACTACCTTCCTTCCTCCCCAACTGAATGAAGAGTGAGCTGGTTTCTTTTTCCCTTCTGTCTTTTCACTTTTGTACCTTGTTTTAGGTTTCATCTCTTACTTTGTTTCTCTTTTGCCTCCTTTTTTTCTACGCTTTCATTGTATCCACTCTGTATTTTGCTACTACTAACAGGTCTCAATTTGGAACAAAGTGATGAATCAATAAAGTAGCGGCAGTAATAGCAGGTAATTAACCTGCTAGGCTTAGGTTATATAAATGCTTTCTTTTGCTTGATATTTCTATTGAAGTCTAGGGACATCCTAAAACATTTAATGTAAAAATGGCTTAATGTGCCATAATGTACCTAAACCTCAATCAATTGCCTTTAAACTTTGCACAACCCAAGTTCTCAGCTTCCCAAACCTATCCTGGAGGTTTCATGGATTTTGGTTAACCACAAGGCAAATGCGTGACATTAAGCTTGTTTTTTGGGGAGCTTAATGTGGCTTAACGTACAAAAAACAACTTCGATGTTAACCAATTTCCCCCAAATTTCCCATACTACAAGACTCTATGCCAATATATTCTGAAGATTTTGGGTCATTTGATAAAACACACCAAAAGTTATTCACATTAAACTATTTTATTGCAATCCTAAAACTCTTCGCTTATTGTAAAACGAGCTTAATGTATCATAATGTGCCTAAACCTCAATCAATTGCCTTGAAACTTTGCACAACCTGAGTTCTCATCTTATTGAGTGATGTTAGGCTTGTGTAGCCCCTACTACCTTTTGTGCAGTGGCTATTAGCAATTTTAAAAGGGTTATTCACAAAGCTAGCCGCAGGATCAGCCATAGCTTCGGCTGATCCTTCGACTATCTTCGGCCGCTGGAGCCCTTTAGTTCAATAGAACCGAAGGGCTGCTGTACGGGCTATTCACTATAGCTCGTACAGCTCCCGAAGTTTGGCCGAGCGGCTCAGTCAAGCCAAGGGCATATGCTTCGGCTCGACTGAGCCGAGGTGAAACCCGAAGCGGGCTGAATGGCCGGCCAAAAGCCTTGCAACTGACAGCTGGGTGGAGCCAGGCGTGATTCAGCACGCTTCGGGTTTCACCTCGGCTCAGTCGAGCCGAAGCATATGCCCTTGGCTTGACTGAGCCGCTCGGCAATTGCTCAAGGCAATTGATTGAGGTTTAGGCACTCTATGGTACATTAATGTTTTAGGATGTCCCGCAGTCTAGTCTTCTGAGACCTGTAAACGTATATTTTGATATGTGGAAACTGTTCAAATCATTTAATAAAATAAGACAATATCCACCACTGTCAGAATACAATAGTGTGGATGGGGAAATTGAGAGGTGTATCTCATTTATCCTGGAGGAAGGGTCCCTGCACAGTCCTAATGCATTGCTTTTTCTATGTGGTCAAACAAGAATAAAGAGCTTTTCACTCTGAAACAAGCCTATTGGTGTGCTGGCTGCATATCTTATCCATGTAATACACCGTGATCAGTTGGGAGTCACTGCAGCACCCTCTTAACATGGTTGATTACAGTATAGTGTGCAAGAGGAATATGATCCATGAACAGAAATTAAAAAACAAAAAAGAGTTTATGGCCAGCTTTTTTTTTTGACCCATAGTGATGATATATGGCACTACTTATTACACACATTCTAATAGTGACTAGCAAAAATGTGCCAGTTGGGGCACAGAAGGGTCTGTGAAAATGAATGTAATCTGCTACCAGACATGTCTGCACTGATGATGGAGAAAGACTATATACACCCTCCCACTGTCTATTGTTTCCCTTCAAATACCAGGTGCTCTGCTTGGCCTCCACAAAAAAAATGTCAGGTGGAGAATAAAGCATAAAGAAAACCAATCAACAATTATAACCTTAAAATTAAATAAAAATAAATCAAATTACTATTACTTGTAACACGTACCAGAAAGTAACTTTTGTAGCACTTTGTAGTTTCTTCTGTGTTTAAGACTTCAGCAAGTGCATCGTACAATTCATCTTGAGGTTCTGCTTCAGTGCTCTCATGCTGCAGGGACAAAGTATACATAATTGAATTCTGCTTTATAGAAGATAATGACGAAAAACAACAAAACTATATGAACAGTTTTACCAGCCAAAGGATTTGTAAATCTGTTCAGCCAGTTTGTTTAACCAGTCAGTGATTCACACGGTTTGTGCCGTCTGTCTGGCTTTGAAGTGTGGCAATTTTTCCTGTCTCAGCTTGCAGCTTTCTGTGTAATCTGCCTTCTTATTGTACAATAATTCAGCAGAGGTGTAACATTGTTAGTTAATGGACTAATGTGCAGGCGATGCATTAAATAGCAGACTGAAATAGTAAATGTCTTACAGCGTGAGAATGTTAATTTGCAAATTACTGGAGTCAAACTGTGCAAACAGAACTGCTTAGAAGGTGGATACCTTCGATCCGAGCACTAGAATTCAACAAAGCATGGGAGGCCAACATCGGGATGGAAGTTTAAAACCTGATTCTGCAGTTTTGTCAACTTCTTCTGGGACAGCAAGACCTCAAGGACCTGAAGCCCCCACCTATTTCACACCTGGTAGGGGAGTTTTTCCCCAGACAGAACCTATATATGACAAAAAGGGCAATATTTCTGGATATGAGTCTGACACAGATATGCTATCTCTAGATTCATACCCAGCACAACTGCCTCTTTCCATAGACATCAAACATGGGTAGGCTGATACCCTCCAAAACCAACTTTCGTCTATCTCTTAAATGGGTGAAGATACCCCAGCCTTGTCTGGTGTGGCAGCTTTGTACAGGGTAAAGTCTTGCAGAGACCTAGTTCTCCGCCACAGTCGCTCAAGAGCGCGGCTTTGTCTTTTTTGATGTTTGGTAACTTCAGTTTGCCACAGTTGTAGCAGGCGTGGTCTAAGTCTGCGGGTTGTGAGGGGAGCCAAGGTGTCTAGGGAGGATGAGAGTGAGTTGTTAAAAACAGAAGTAGCCAGGTCAGGGCAGGACAGGGGTGAGATTTTGTCAAAGAGGGAGTCAGTAGCAGAGTGGAGAAGAGAGTGGGAAAGGGGTGTTGGAGAGGTTGCAAGGAGTGCATAGGTGGGAGAAAACAAGATCAAGTGTGTTACCATCAGAGTGAGTAGGAGTCTGTGTCCATTGAATTAGATCAAAAGAAGAGGTTAGGTTAAGAAATTGAGTGGAAGCTGGGGAGTTATTGTTAGTAGCAATGTTAAAGTCACCAAGAATGATAGACCTTGGCCTGAAAAGGTATCCAAGAAAAAGGCCTAGGCACTCCAAGTAAAATGATGAGATCAGAGATGACTTCTCAAAGTTTAGAATCATTCTGAAGTCTTTCAAGGTCCGCACTGCGACTGACATATTGGAATCAAAGAGATCTTCTATTGCAGCAGCAGATGGTCTTGGAATCCAATGATTCCACTGAGACAAAGAAGACTAAGAACTGGTGCGAGGACGATTGTGAATACTGTTGGGACCGAGGTAAGGCTGAAGAGAAGGGCAACAGACTGATAGTGTTTGTAGGCCATGGAAAAGCTAAGAAAAACACTGATGACCGGGAAAAAAATGGGAATTATTATTATTAAAAATGGGAAACAGGTTAAATAAAAATATTGAAATCGTTTGGTTGGGGAAACCAATTATAATCTCCTGCTTCATCAATCCCTTAAAGAAGGCAAGGTCTGTCCCACATTGCCAAGACATGGAGAGGTGAGGGCCAAACCTATTTTGTAACCTTTGGATACAACCTCCCGCACCCATGTGAAGGCTATGCAAGCTTCTTAAGTCTTCGTGAAAGCCATCAAGGTTCCCCACATCACCTCTGATGGAGCTGGTGGGGCAGACCTACATGCGGAAGCAAATTATTTACAATTTAGATTCCTTGGTTTCCCAAAGACCTTTTGAGTCCCAGGGCATTAAAGAAGACAGGAACTTGGACCTAACTTGGAGGAACATAAGGAATGTTTTATGCAAGGTAAAGGTGTAGAGTTGTGTCGTTATTCCTTAGCTGTGCATAAGTGGGGTAAGTGAATACACGAACACATCATTGTGCTTTTATTAACCCCTTAAGGACCAATGACAGAATTATTCCATCATGGCTGTCCATACCATAAGGACCCATGACGACATAATTCCATCACGGGTCCTTAATGGTTTAAGCTTCTGTCATGTGCTAAATGAGAACTTATATATGTATATATCACCTCAAATTAAAGCCCTTTTTGTCCTTTAAAAACGGTATAAAATATGTGTTGGTGCAATAAATGAGAAATATGGAAATTGCGGTTGAACACACACAGCAAAAATTGCTTTGGTCCTTAACTGAAATACAAGCATCTAAAAGCTTTTTCCTTAGGGGGTTAAGTCCAGCGAAGAGTTGAAAAAACAGTCTCCCACAAAGGGCAGGCATAATGCCTTCTTACACTGGTGCTCCGCTGACCAGCACTTAAGCCAAAGTGCCCTATGGGTTTGAACAGGAGAAGGGGTTACCCGAGACAAAACTTGACTAGCATCCAGCTCCGCATCAAACAGAACGCTCAATAAAATTATCTGGTCAATGCAAGCAAAAAGTTGAAAATCAATGCCAGGTCCCTACCATCCAAAGTCAGGGAGATGGATGTTGAGGCAAGTAGAAGTTGAAGAGCAAAGCCCACCACCTGCCAATGGATCGAGAAATTGCTTATTGTCAGTAAGATATTTGAATGATAGAATGCCAAAAATGCTTGTGTTGCGATGCTAATGGATATTTCAGACACCCACAGGATTTGCAAAAGCGTCTGCTTGGCTGTTGACAGAGAGCTAGTTTCTCGCAATGGAAGGTGCCTTCTAAAACAGACCAAACTGGTTGGCTGCCCTGTATTGTTTCCCCATTATTCGTATCACAATGGGATGGAGTTATGGGGAAACCTTGTGAGCTGGTTTCTCGCAATGGAAGGTGCCTTCTAAACAGACCAAACTGGTTGGCTGCCCTGTATTGTTTCCCCATTATTCGTATCACAATGGGATGGAGTTATGGGGAAACCTTGTGTAAACAATCACGCCTCGATTGGTTAAGACTTATTCAACCTTGACTACTGATGGCAATTTATGATACAACGCGGCCACCTAGAGGTGGGAAAGTGGAATACATCCTATTTTGCTCTTATACAAGGGAGGGAACACCCACAAGTGGGATGCCATTTTCTGTAAATAAAAACCAGGATGGACTTCATGATGGACTCTGACCAAGGGAGGACTGAACTCTAATACAAAGGACTTGGACCCCAGAGACTGCAACGAGTAGCCATTTGCCTGCGAACGCTTAGTTGCCAAGAAGTCCTGTTCATTACGTAATTTACGGAATATGCACCCTTTAAGCTAAGTACTATTTTAGTGTTTTCCTCTCTTAGAAATGATTACATGTACTAGAAGGATAGCGTAGTGGGTGCATGTGATTGTTTGTAGCAGCCTGTATGTATGTTTTGTTTATCTTTGTTTTTCCTGTAACTAAGTTTGTATATGCAGCATTTTTGCCAAGAAAAGTACTTTAAATGCTACTGGGTCAGTTTCCTTGAGGTCTACTGCAAGAACAGACAACAAAATAGAAATTAAAGTTTTGTCAAGCTTTACATCTGGGCTCGTCCTTGGGATAAGCTTTACATCTTTGGGATTTGTAGTCCAGAGCATTACACTGCTAAAGGGCAAGAAATAGTTGATATGAGTATTTCTAATCTTGGAAATTAAATAACCAAATAGAGGGATGATAAGGAAACAACTTTTCTTGGTGGAACATGTGGGTCTATGAGAAACGAATCCAGACACCGTTGTGAGAAGAACAAACGGCTGAATTCTCTCATATTAAAGTAAAGCGTACAGCCTCTATTAAAAAAAGGAAATAGTTTCCTTATGTTTAGATTTAACAACTGCTGACTGAAATTTGGCTAGAGGTGTCTCCTCCTCTAAAGATGAAAGGGACTTCGCATAACAAGTCCTCTAGAGGAGCGGAGACAGAATCATCAGACATTTCTGTGTCAGATTCCACTGGGGAAAGGTGCAGAAGGCACAGTGTGCTGCCAAACTCAACTTACACATAGTACAAAAAAAGGACAGAGTTGGTGGGTCATCTGTAGTCGAAGAAAGACCACACCACTGCTTAGTGCCAGACATGCTGTAAAAATCTGAATTAGGTTGTAACTTCGAAAGAATAAAACTAGCCCACTACCTCAGGAATACTCACAAGAATGTCTGTTTGACCACTGTCACTGGAGGTGGAGTACAATACCCACAGGCTGAGTTTTGCTGTCATGCAATGTGTCTCTGAATGCAAGCTGTCAGCTGAGAGCTGTTTTCAGACCTCTTTTCCTTTTCCTGCTGTCCAGCATCCCTAGTACCCTGGGTATCACTGGAGAGCCTCTCTGAGGAAAGAAGACTCCATGCATAAGGACTGAAAACACTAACAGCACATCAAGTCTCACCGTCTGGTACCACTGGCACAGCTCTGTCTGTCCAATGCCCCTGCACACAACAATTCACCATCAATCAATCCATCAGGAACAGTCCACTGCATTTCATGTGTGTTCCTGCTCAGTTCCAGTAAGCACTCCCTCCTCCAAGTGCTGCATTATAAAGCCAAAAGAAGAAGGAGGTGGGAAAATGAAAACAGCAGTTAGAGTCTTAAGATGCCCAGCCACCAGAGCACAGCCTGAGATTTAAAAATGAGCAATGCTCCATTGAGTAACCAGATTGTAAACTGAAATTAAGCACACCTGAAGGTTTGAGGAGAGCTCCCCATGTGGCCAGTTTGCAAAGTAAAAAAAGGGAATCTTGACTCTCACAAAATGGCCCATCAACTACAGCCATTTCTGACGCAATATCACACAGTACAACACAGGGACGTGCGGTCAGGGGAGGCAGCGCCTCACCTAGAATTATGGATGAAAAAGCTGACAGCTTCACGTCTGAAGCTGACAGCTTTTTCTCCATTCAGATCAGCATCTAACAGGTTACACAGCAGGGAAATCCTCTCCGCTGTGTAACCTGTCATGGACGGAGTGCCTCAGCAGTGAGGAGCAAGTGAGGGACAGGGAGGCTCCTCCCTGTCGCCTCCCTTCCTCTTTTACACTAGCTTGGGGACGGGGCTTCATCCGGCGGAGCTTCGTCCGGCAGGGGGTGGGGCTTTGGTCGGCGGGGCTGGGGAATGCCTCACCTGGAGCAAGAGGTACTGCACGTCATTGGTACAAAACAGAGTACAAAGCTTGCCAGTCTTTCACAACATTGAGTCTTCAGAGACAGGGACACAAATGGGTAGTCACTTGACTGCAGGACCATTGTAGAAAGCACACCAGTATACTTCAAGAAAAAGGAAAACCTGCACTTGGTAACCAAAATAGTTGCGCTAGGATATATGGCAAAAATAAAAATTAATTAAATTAAGACTAAAAAACCCAACATACAAAGAAAATAACAATAGAAAATATAAATATAAAAATAAAATATAGCCAAGAGATCCAGCTGCAGCAATATCTATCAAAGTGATCAATTATAAACCGGTGTGCTGCGCTTGGTTTTGTGATGCGTGCTATGTTTAATCCTTAAATTATGTGATGCTTGTGATACCACAAACTGAAAGCAGTACAAGTGATCGACTCCTACTTGCAACTGTATGCAATCCAAAAGTGCGTGTGTGCATATATATTAATAATAAATATACGTGTCATATAAAT